CTTGGGGATGAGCTTCTCCGGGTACTGGTGCGGTCCGTACACGTTGTTACTCCTCGTGATGATGGCCGGGAGTCCAAACGAGCGGTGGAAACTCTTGACCAAGAACTCGGCGCCAGCTTTCGTGGCCGCGTACGGGTTCGTGGGCTCCAGCGCGTGGTCCTCCGTCATGGGCGCGGAGTCGGGCCGCCCCTCTCCGTACACCTCGTCGGTGCTCACGTGGATGAACTTCTTGACGCCGTAGAGTCTCGCGGCCTCCAGCAGCACGTGCGTGCCCAGGATGTTGGTCTTGCTGAACTCGATCGAGTTGCCGAACGAGTTGTCCACGTGCGACTGCGCTGCAAAGTGCAGGATGGTGTCGATTTGCTCCGTCTTGAGGATGTAGCCCACCAAGTCGGCGCTGGTGATGCTGCCGTGGATAAACTTGTAGTTCCTGGGCAACGTGGCGAGGAACGCGTCGCTGATGTACGCGTCGCTCGGTTCGCAGAAACTGCCCCGCAGACGCTCGCAAAGCTCGTCTTCGTCCTCCTCGCTCTCCGTGGCCTTCTCCCGCTCGACCTCGTCCTCCTCGGCGCTGTCGCCGCGCGTCTGCGGCTCGTGCTCGCCGTCGCACGACGAGATGGCCGAGTGCACGTTGCGCACGCACGAGCAGTAGTCGAGCGAGTCCAGGTTCACGAGGTAGTACTGCGGGTAGCGCTGGACCAGGTGGATGACCACGTGCGAGCCGATGAAGCCGGCGCCGCCCGTCACGAGGATGCGCTTGGTGTACTGCGGCGCGTCGGGGGTCGTGGCCGCGGATTCCGCCATCACTGCTTTGTGCGCTTTCGAGGCGTTTTCGATAGTGCCGGCCGTATTGAAGCGCTAGACGTGTCTATTTGATTTGGAAGGTCATCGGAACGCAGTGTGTTGCATATCCTGGTAAGTACGAAGGCAGGAGCAGGGAGTTTGTATGGAAACGCCATAGGGCGGTGGAAGTGGGGGGAACGCTGCCATCACTGCAACTGCGCCGGGGGCTTGCTGACGCAGGCAAACCAAGCAGTGCGGTGACAGCCATGTGTTACTGTAACCTTCGCCGCCATAGTCGTTGATAGGCATTGACGTCCCCTTTCAAGCTGCAACATCTTCGTCTAGACACATAAAAATAAAAACTTTTCCCTGTATCCGGATATGATGGAGAGCACAAGAATTCATGAACAATTTCAGGGAGGGCACATCGTGAGTGTATTTCTGTTTAGTATATTAGCCCGAACTGCAGGCTCTCTGCCTGCAATGACAACCCCCGTATTCCACACTACTTTCTACCAAAATTCCTGGATGTTTGCCGTCTAGAAGAGCTTGCTCACGGCGTCGCGCACGCTCGCGTCGTCGGCCTCGTTGGCCAGCGTCACCGTCAGCTGATGGATCACACAAAACGCAGACAAGTTAGTTCTCTTCGCCACCAACGTCTCGCAACACTTTGAACCAAAGCAAACGTACCAGAGGGTCCGCCTTCATCTCGCGCTCGATGGCGAAGCGCGCGTTGGCGTTGCGAGCCCACGCACGACGGGCCACGCCGTTGTTCACGTCCCAGCCGAGCATGCACGCAGCCTTCTCGCGGGCGTCCTCGGAGCCGTCGAGCACCATGCCGAAGCCACCGTTCATGACCTCACCCCAGCCGACCCCACCGCCGTTGTGCAGCGCAACCCACGTAGCTCCACGAGCGGCGTCGCCGAGAGCGTTTTGCACCGCCATGTCGGCGCAGAAGGCAGAGCCATCGGCCACGTTGGAAGTCTCACGGAACGGGCTGTCCGTGCCGCTCACGTCGTGGTGGTCGCGGCTGAGCACCACCGGAGCCGAGATCTCGCCGCTGGCCACGGCAGCGTTGAAAGCCATGGCGATCGTGCCACGGCCCACGCGGTCGGCGTACAAGATGCGGGCCTCCGAGCCCACCACGAGCTGGTTCTCCTCGGCGGCCTCGATCCAGCGCAGGTTGTCACGCAGTTGGGCCGCGACGCGCTCCGGCACCTCCGGCTCGGCGAGCAGCTCACGCAGCACGCGCGAAGCAATGGCGTCCGTCTGCTGCAGGTCCTCGTGCTTGCCCGACGTGCACACCCAGCGGAACGGACCGAAGCCCAGCGAGAAAATGTCGCCCATGATGTCCTGCACGTAGCTCGGGTACTTGAAGGCGGTGGTGGACACTGCGGCCTCCTCGGGCTTCACACCGGGGCGAAGCACGTCAGCGCCGGCACGCTGAGCCTCCAGTAAAAACGAGTTACCGTAGTCCCAGAAGCGCATGCCCTTGGCCGTAAGGCGGTTGATAGCAATGGCGTGGCGACGCAGAGACTCCTGCACCAGCTCCTGGAAGTGAGCCGGGTCCTCGGCCATGACGCGCTGGGACTCCTCGAAGGTCAGCTGGACGGGGTAGTAGCCGCCGTTGAACGGGTTGTGCAACGACGTTTGGTCCGAGCCGAGCTCCACCAAGATCTCGCCCGTGGCCTCGGCCTCGTCGGCGAGACGCTCCCAGAGGGTGACCACGTTGCCGTGGTAAGCCAGGCTCACCACCTCGCGCTTGGCCTTGGCCTCGCGGATGCGAGCAACGCAAGAATCCAGGTCGCTCACCACCTCGTCGACCCAGCCCTGCTCGTGGCGCTTCTTCACGGCAGACTCGTCGATCTCCGCGGTCACGGAGATGACACCGGAGATGACACCGGCTTTAGGTTGGGCTCCGCTCATGCCGCCCAGGCCCGAGGACACATACACCGTGCCGCGGGTGTCCTCACGCTGCAGGTACTTCCGGCAAGCGTTCAGCACGGTAATGGTGGTGCCGTGCACAATGCCCTGCGGGCCAATGTAGCAGAAGCTGCCAGCCGTCATCTGACCGTACTGCGTGTTGCCCATAGCGTAGGCCTTGTCGTACTGGGCGCGCGTGGAGTAGTTGGGGATCATGAGACCGTTGGTGACCACCATGCGCGGCGCCGCCGGGCGGCTCGGGAAGAGGCCCATGGGGTGGCCCGAGTACATGACGAGCGTCTGCTGCTCCGTGAGCTCGGACAGGTAGCGCATGGCCAGCAGGTACTGGGCCCAGTTCTGGAAGACGCTGCCGTTGCCGCCGTACGTGACGAGGTGGTGGGGGAACTGCGCCACGCGGCGGTCGAGGTTGTTCATGATCATGAGCATGATGCTGGCCGCCTGCTTGCACTTGGCTGGGTACAGCTCGATGGCGTGCGCCTTCATCTCGTACTGCACGGGGCGGAAGCGGTGCATGTAGATGTGGCCCTCGTCCTTCAGCTCCTGGGCGAACTCGGGCGCCAGCGTGGCGTGGAGCTTCTCGGGGAAGTAGCGCAGTGCGTTCTGCACGGCCAGCACCAGCTCGTCCTTGGACAGGCCGTCGATGTTGCGGTGCGGCGCCTTGGGCAGCGTCGGGTCCGGGTGGTTGCCCGGGTGCGTCGGCAGTTCGGTTGGGATGCCGCTGCGCAGGATGCTCAGGTCCACGGGCAAAGACGAAGCCATGGGTGCGAGTACAGGCGTATGTGGAGGCGGCGGTCGCTTGCGAGGCGAGTGGTGGATTGAGGAATGAGCGGAAGACGCATGGAGGATGCAGCGGCGGCAATGCGCGTCAAGAGGCGTAGTCGATCCCGAGGGGAAGTTGACGTCTTGACAACTCCATATCATGATGTTTCGAATTTGATGTATTCCTCGCAATGTACACTATCCATATGTAGCTATATTAGAAGTAAATCCAACTCTATTTTGTTGTAACATGGCTATCCATAATGCCTACATAGTTATTAATTCCTGGAGGTGGCAGGTCGTCTAATCAATTGCTTATTTAAGTGCTTTAATCCGTTTAACATGAGGTATAATTTTGTAGCCATGTTAATGTACTGATATAGAGTGGAAGTCAAAACATATGCGGTGACGCGCGCGACGTCACGAACGTCACCTGGATAATTTCCTTGCAGCCCGCGGCCGATATAATCCGTAACGTTTAGCGCGGCTCACCGCTGCAAGCGGATTAAGTACGTCGACTATGTCGATAAGCAAATGAAACGTTTGGCGGGACCCCCATCCAAAATAATCGGTATCGGGAATTAATTATTGCATCATGGGGCGGTTGCGAAACCAACTATCTTTTTGAGATTGACAATGGAATTTGTACTGCTCGCAAAACAGTCGACACATCAGACGGTGACTCGATCACATTTGCAATAGTAGATCCTAACAACATCAGGAAAGCAGTGTTGATGGAATTATTTTGCGCAAATGTTTAATCTCTGGTGTACAGCTTCCACGGCACCCCATAAAGGAGTTCCCTGCGAAAAGATCAAGTCACTGTCGGTAAAATACTTTTCGAATCCGAAGGAGTCTACTATCCCGATGTCCCTGAAACGATTGTCAACGCGGCTACGTCTGATGAAGCTACGTGCAACAGCAACACTACGTCAAACAGTTCGACGAAGCGAAAACCTGGCCGTCCCAGAAAGAAGAAAATCAAACCCTAAATCTATCCGGCAGTTTTTTCAGCTCATCGAAGAAGTAGGCGAAGAAAGACAGCATTAACTGCATTTTTCGCTTTAGTTAGCACCTACATTTTTACTCCATTTGTCCCTTAATACCGGTATGTGATGAGAGCACCGGGGTCTAGATGGGACCCCGGGGTCCCGCCATCCGTTTCAAATGTGCGTGGCACTGCATGACCTACGATATCCATTGACAATAACATTGTTTGCATAAATAACAGTAATTGGCAGATTCCGGACCGAAATCCGGACGTTTTGACTGAAGCACACAATGAAAAAAGGCGCCCCAACCAAATTCATTACTTAGTATTCATTCCGGACGCGAGTGCTTAGGTGTGTCTCACGCAACGGAGGGACAATAGTATAAAATTCAAAGCCAATCGTTTTTAGCCGACGGCTCGGATTCACTCACTCTCATTCTGGATTTTCCAGCGCGGAACCCACAAGCGTCAGCGGCTGCTACAACCAGGTGCACCACATACAGCCTTCGACAATCCCACCCACGCCCCCGTAGTACAGCGGTAGAGCAGGAGGCAATGCCTCCAGGTCGCTGGTTCGACTCCAGTCGGGGGTAACTTGATGTGTTTTGTCTGTGATGTGCTTGTGCTCCATGTTTATATGATTGAGTGTGTGCTAAGTCAAGTCAGAACCCCCCCACTGGTGCGACACAGGCATGCAAGCGTCGACCACGGAGCCACAGGATTTGAGCGCAAGAGCTGGGCACCAAGCAAGCGGTATGCGTCAAGATGTGACGCGCGCAGCTGGCGCCAGCGCTTTCGTAACGGCGATGCTTTCCGCGTGAGCTTCTTGTGGTCGAATGAATGAAGCCGTTCATTCCCAGCACTGTTCGTGGCCAAGGCAAGCGTCCAAAGATCGTCTTTCCAGCGCTGGGTATGCATCGGCATCGGAACGACTCGTCTCTTGAGTTATCTGGTAGGACGTCTGGTACAGTATCAACATAATGTTCACTGCGGCTTTTGACTCAGCCCGTTTATTCTGTTCCTTTTCCCGCTTATTCGTTTGTCAGATGTGGTTGTGTACCAGTTAACCCCCCAAAGACCAAGGTTGTATAAAACAACATGTAATCATGTTGTACCTACAACATGTTTGGACAGGGCTTGGCTCTATAAATGGCCAAAGTATAGTTAAACCAAGTATATGCACATCCCATATCAAAGGTTCGATGAACAGGGATATATGTCATTTGGCAACAGATAGCCCAGAACAGATCCCATGAGTCGAGTCTGGCTATGTGCACATTTTATGGGTGGTGGCTCTGAGTCCGCGCCAGTTACGAATTAGCGGCGAAGAGGACGGATTGTGGCTAGGCGGGAGACACGGAGCGAGAAGATCGCGTTCGCAGAGCGCCTGGCCAAGGTACACATCGCCGACCGCGTCCGCCTCCTGCAGCAACATCGTGCCTTCATCGCTGGAACAAGACCAACGGATGCGGATTTTGCCTCCGCACACCCGCATACACCTGGCCGAACTGGGGTCCAAGCCGTGACGCGCCCGACACTAGGAAAGGATGCAGCGTACATGCATCACAACCATAAAAGAATCTCGGAGCACCAGCGTGCCGTTGCAACGCAGACGTTGGCTGGATCAGGCAAGAAGTGCCAGAAACCAAGCGCGCAGGTCAAGGACGATGACGAGTCGTAGGAGCAGGACGAGGACGAGGGCGAAGAATTCAACGACGAAGACGGGTTCGAGCTACCTACGGCGGGCAAGGGCAAGGCAAAGGTGAAGACGGTGGCAAAGCCAAAGAAGGTGGTGAAGGCGAAGAAGGCGATGAAGCCAACGACCGCGTCCAAGGTCAAGAAGCAGCCAAGAAGTCTGCTGCGACGTTGGCGAAGGAGGAAAGGGAAGCTGCCGTTGCTGCAAAGCGAAGTGCAGCAGCTAAGAGGCGTCAAGATCACGCTAGGGACGCGCAGAAGAAGGGAAAAGCAGCAAAGGCGGCGGCCCGTAAGCGATTGGATGCAGCCAACACCAAGAAGAGGAAACCAGATACTGAGGCAACGACAGATCAACCGAAGAAGCGGCGGATGTGTCCTCATGAGACGGAAGAAGGTGGCGACAACATCACTACAGAAAGGTATGTACAACATGTTGATCATACAACATGTTCAGAGAACTAACACTTGCGATGTGGTGCATGCTGGTAGTGCGAGCCCGGATCGCGTTGAACGTAGTGCGGCTCACAGGTTCGTTTAAGCACGGGTGTGCAGCTTATTTCAAAGTTGTGAGTGACGATGATGTGTGCTTTGCAGTCCAACTCCTGGGCCTGTCCACACAGAAGAAATGCCAAGGTAGGTACAACATGATTTTCTGATACAACATGTAGCGATGGTGTATCGTACAACATGTACTGACTCGATAATGCTGTATATGGCTTGTGATTTGCGTGTACAACCCGTTGTGAGCGCTGGGAGCCCTGTTGTAGACGACAACGAGAGTGGTGATGCGTTGGACTCGGAGTGTGACGTAGATGAGGAGGAGATGATGATTGACGACGTCAGCGCGTGTGAAGACCCCGATATTCTTTCCGATACCCCAGAAGCTGACGAGTCTCCAGGTGAGACCCCCTCAGCTACCGTCTGTGATACTGACATCTCGATGGCTGAAGGCAACGGAATTGACTGGCCCATGCTGGAATTTGCTATGGACGAAGCGGAATTGGCGAAAATGTGGAAGAGCGGCTGGCATCTAGGTACAAAAGATATCCTGCAGTAGTTTGTATTGGTGTCTAACTAAGTCTATGTGAACGTTTGCTGCTACAGATCCAAGTGAATTCCCTCCAGACCACAGCTATCCTGGATTGTATGACGGTCCCTACGATCCATCAGAGGAGGTGGCACGGTGTGCGGACTCGCCCTTGGATCTGTTTCTCTATTTTATGCCGAAGGATCTCTGGACCGAGATTGCGGGGTAGTCAACGCTCTATCAGGAGCAACACCTAGTAGAGCGTGTCGACCGGGTGTATGAGAGGCAGAAGGTTCCGGGGAAGAAGACGAAAGACCAATTTATGGAGCGAGAGGAGAATCATGAGGATATCAAGCCCCACGAGATTGTGAATCTTCTGGGCCTGCTTGTTGCGCGGATTATCAACCCACAGAGACGACACTTCTACGATCGCTGGGCGACTAATTTAGTTGGTGCTATTCCAGGAGGCACATTTGGTAGGTGGGTGAAGAGAAATCGATTATGTATATCCTGTCAAACCTACACTTCCCCGACAGCGCCGATGCGCGGGCGGGAACCGACAGAGCTTGGAAGGTGCGCTCTGTGGTGGATGCTCTGCAGTCTACATTCCGGGCTGGCTACACTACTCCATCAGTTATGTCTTTCGATGAAGTCATGATCCCGCTTCACAACCGCCACAACCCGACGCGGCAGTACGTTGCCAACAAGCCACACAAATGGGGGACCAAGTTATTTATGACGTGCTGTGCTACTTCGTCATATTGCCTGCGGTACGTGAAGCTTTGAGCTCCGAAAGGGCTCAAAGTTTTTGTTTGTGTCTGAGTAAACATGTTGTATTATTCACACTATATCTGACAGCAAGTATTAATGCTGTATCTCTTTAGCCTCGAGGTTTACTGCGGCATAGCCCAACACGCAGAAGAGCTCGGAAACATCCCAGCGTCAGTCCAGTCAGCGGATCATAACACTGGTCCCGCAGCTGTTATGCGGAATCTGGAAGCAGTACTCCCCGCACGCACGGGCGGTGTCTACAACTTGATAGTGACCGACAGGTTCTATACGTCAGTGCAACTGGCCTACCAACTATTACAGCGTCAAGTTTATTCCGTGGGAACGATCCAAGATGACCGACAAGGATTCAGTGACGCAATGGTGGAAAAAAATTCGTAATCAACCGAAGAGCATTGCCCATGGTACATTACGCTTGGCAGCTGCCAAAAACTGCCCACTCATGACAAGTTTGGTGTGGTGGGACAGAAGACCAGTGCAGTTGTTGTCAACGGGGGCGAGTTATCTTGTAGGTGAAACTATGCTAACACGAAATGCAGAACGTATCTGTGTAACAAGTTCTGGCCGCACTCCAAAAACAACACTCTCACCTGCCATCAGATATGGCATTTTCAGTGGAAGAACGGAGCGGAACGCCCCCGCCCCCGGTGTGGCCGCGATATACAGAATCGCAATGCCGGTGTTGGTGCGGGGAAGTGCAAGCGGCGTCGGCAGTCACTGGAGCCCGCCGAGATATCCACCGAGGAGCTCGCCGAGGACACCGCCGAAGAGCACGCCGAGGACACCGCCGAGGTGCACGCCGACGAGCACGCCCAGGACACCGCCGAAGTGCACGCCGAGGAGCACGCCGAGGAGCCGGCCGAGGACACCGCTGATGTGCACATTGAGGAGCCCGAAGGGGAGCACGAGGACAGGACTGCGCAGATTAGTCCCGTCATTAGTTGATGAGTGTGGCTTCTTCACCAAAGCCGAAACAATGCATTCTGTTATATATTATATGGATTATATCAAGATATGGAAAATGCGCGGTACACTCGCAAACCTAGCCGAAAAGACTCGGTTGTTCAATGGTCTGATTAAGTAATTCGACTTTACTGCATATCGGAACCTCCTCTTCCCAGTGTCAGGGCGCAATCACTGGAGTGTTATGGTTATTGAAAACCCCTCGCACTCCGAACCGACGAAAGCGTATCACATTAATTCGAAGCGATACGCGCAGAACTCAGCTTAGGGGTTCGACTTCGTCGAGTTATTTCTATCAAAGCTCAACGAGAGACAAAACGGATCGCAACATGCGTTTGGATGTAGCACGTACGTCTACAGCACGAAACATCAACAAGCGAACCGTTCAGATTGTGGACTATACGTACTTCATTATATGGATGCAATTTCAATGCAGATGCAGATGCGGAGCCTGCCTCAGTTGAGGACACGATGGTTGAATGGTCTTCTGGAGATTTCAACGTTACGAACCTTCCTATTCCTACTTAGTCGCTCAGCTCGCACTTCTCTTGAAGCTACTTCTCCGCTAGATGTCGTATTCGAGACTGTGCCTGATCATGTGTAAAGCTTACTGAGAGAAACTCGGCACCTTCACTCAGTAGTGTCTCCTTCTTTGATGTTCTTCGGCCTTGTCCTTCTTCTGTGAAGGCACGCTGAGTATCACTCTGGTTGCCCGTCGAGCTAACGGCGGCAACCGGAGCCATATCATAACACACTCCTGGTGCAAGCGACGGAGTAGAGTACAGTAATTTGCTTCAACAGCGAGATTTGGATCTATAGAGGTTTCATAAGGAGAGTGTTGTGCTAATGAAGCTGCGACTGCAAATATAGTCCGCTTTGTATACAAGCTCGGACTACACTTAAACGTTCAAAATTAGTCGATGTTGATAATTAGTCGATGTGAGCTTGCGCCAGACTACTTTATGTATTTGTTGAAAATGGGCCCACACAAATAGACTGACTCAGAGTAATTACCGTAGTCTTTGTTCCCGGTAAACTAAAATGAAATGAATACCACATCTCCGGTATCAGCAGCGTTTACTCCATATTTCCAAGGCCGCGTCCGTCCCTGCAACCGTT